TCCAAATTCTGCCACTCTTACTGGAAAGTAATGAGAGTAACAGGTTAAATTGATAAGGCCATGTCCCTGAGGATGCAGGGTGGGACACATTTGATTTTCTGTAAATGACATGAGGAAGGGTTGGTTCTTTCTGAAGTGCTTTGACTTTTCAAGCATTGTGCCAAATAATAGTTTGACACCATTCTCCTTTTACCATTAGTAGCAATTCAAGTTGGGGCAAACATACTGCAAATACACTGCTGAATGTAACAACCAGATTACTCCAAACTGATTCATTTTACTATTTTATGGGGAGGGCTTAGACTTTTCTCTTTAAAAGTGAAATTTAATAAAATAGCCTTGCAGAAAGGCTCATCTGTAAGTTCTACAGGTTGGTTAAATTTTGTGGTGGGCCTTTATTTAGGAGTTTAAATTTTATTTATTTAATTTTTTTTATAGGCTGTGGAGCTCAGGAAAAGGGTAGGCAGGTAAAATTTGTTTTTAGTGAGTTGATAATTTTTTTAGAAACCTTATCTGCAAAAATTAATGAGAACAACAAATTCCACATGATGTTATTTCTTCATCTAGCTAAGAGTACATTTAAGGCTGCCTGGATGAAACTTTGCACTGATTTTTGTATAGTAGTTGATCAGTCACTATTTGACAAATTGTTTCAGAATGAATATGGTGGTGAAGTTTAGATAAGTCACTATGTTCTGCAATTTGACAGATAATTATTTAACAAGTTGGATAGATTCATGAAATTGTTTGAAGTGGTTCATAATGTTCTTTCAGGTTTGAGACAGATGTCTTATTTCAGTGTCTGAAGTTTTGTCCTATGGAGCACATCGTTTAAAGAAGTGTCATGAACTGATAAAACAGAGTGGAAAAACTAGGTGCCAAAGGTGTATTTAAGAAGATACCAAAGATTCAAAGATGATAGGAAGACTATGGTAGTGAAGATAAGAGTCTAAAGTACGGATTGCACAGGACATAGAAGAACATTGTTAAAGGGGTTTGGAATGATTTGCTTACTAATGTGTTTTCAGAACACTTTATACATAATAATGATAATCAAGGGTACTGCTTTAAATGAAGATACTACAGACTTTTAGGAATCATAGGCCTTTGAAAAAAATCTATGTATGGTTACCTGTCAACAAAGTATCTTCCCTAGGTGGATGCCAACTTGTAACCAAGAAGACCTTCTTACTATTCAAGAGAAATTTTGTTTTAGTTTTGATTCAATGCCTGGTCCCTCTAATTAATCACTGGGGTGATTAATAGAATTCAGTTAGTATAAAGAATATTGGTTCCCTAATTAGCCTGGGTTGTTGAAGACCACATAGATATATTACTGATAAGACTGTGAGGCTTACATTTAATTACTCAATCACAATTAGAAAGAAATGCTTTTAAAGAAACTTAAAAAATTATAATTTAGGTTAACTTTTAAAGGCAATTTAGTATAAATGATGAGATAGCTTTGAAATACAGATTTAAATGTTTAAAAATTAATCTGAGGGAAAGATTTGGTACCAAAGTTTCAAAACTTTTATTTCACTGCTTATAAAATACTTTACAGAATACTTAAAAATAAGATTTTATTTGAAAAACTCCAAATTTGGTGGGATAATTAATTACACCATTATATAATTTTAAAGGTAGAATTAGCTTTCTAATACTTTAAAATATTTTCTCAAATGAACATTTGACTTACAATGTCTATAAGTAAAAGACATCAATACTGATAGATATGATTTAAAAAATGCCACATATCAAAATTTATTGAGAATTAAAATACATAAACTTTGGCACAGAGAAGAGAGGAAGAGGAAAAAACATCAAAAAGTGCAACATTGTAATATTTATTGTATTAAAAAAATCTTAAAGTGAGAACTCTTGATCAGTGAACAGTGACAGATATAAAAGCCTGTTTTATTTGATGACATCACTAACTGAGTTTTCTGATCTATACATTCATATGTTGAGAAGGAACTGTCTTAAAAAGCAGTGATTTTTTTTTTTTTTTAGTTTAGATTCTGGGATGCATGTGCAGAGCGTGCAGTCTTGCTACATAGGTATACACGTGCCATGGTGGTTTGCTGCACCCATCAACCCGTCATCTACACTAGGTATTTCTCCTAATGCTATCTCTCCCCAGTATAGTTGTTAATATGCTTTTTTAAAAAAGGTGTCTCTCTCAAAACAGGTAATTAAAAAAACATCTTATAGGGCATTTAATTATTTTTCCCGATAACTCATAGATAAGGGGTTAACTAATGTTATCTTGGAAAATTTATATGTAAACTGTGTAAACTTATCTGAGTTAAACAATGGACTACTGGGGTTTTACCATGGCAAACTGATATATAGGGAGACCCATATACAGGGTTGCTTTGCTGACTACCCAGCATGGTCTATTATAGGAGATGCAAAAGGTGGAAGACCACTGACAACTTTTTTTTTATTTTTTAACCTGGACATCCTTTATCTGGTGACAAGAGCCATCCTTATGATAAGGAAGATGAGATAGAAAATGGAGAGCCTTTGGTAATGTTGATTTTTCTTGTGGAAATGTTGATTTTTTTGTGGGTGCCCAGCTAGCCTAAAGGTCAAGTAAAGAAGAACACAAAAATGGTAGAAGAGGAAAAATGAAGGAAAGAGGAAAAAGGGTAGGGCCAGAGAAAGAAAAAGTAGGATTAGTAAGTGAAAGAAAAAGTTGTTTCATTGTGGGTGTGTGGGGGGGTGTTCTTGCTCGCTATATTCAATTTTGCTTTCCTGTGTCTGCTCTACACAGAACACCTGATCTCAGCAATGTATGGATCCTTTCTTTCATTCACCTGTGATTCTTAAGACTAGATTCTTTTCAGCATATCTACTATTTGCAACATGGCACTACTGTAAAATATCCCTGAAACTGAGCTCTTTAGGTGGATAAACAAAGGAAAAATGGAAAATAATTAAGATGAGGGAAAGACTAAAGCATAAGCCTGTGTATAAATGAATAAGCTTAAATGCAACATCTGGTTTCAATGTAACACCCAAGATTTAACAAACTCAGTACTAGGAGACTTGAAAATAAGTGCAATTTACCACCATTTATCGAGCGGCTATTGTGAGCCAGGCACTGTGCTAGGACTGGGGATACATAAGTGAATGATGTACGGTCCCAGAACTCAAGATTGTTTGGTTTTGTTTTACCAAATCCAAATGCAGTACCTGCATTTCCCTTTTCCAAACTGAGATGGTTATCAAACATGTCTTTCAAAAAGTGTTTGCGGGTGAGAAGATGCACAAGGTGAAGGAAGGTTTCCTGGATCCAGATCTTAGAAGGAAAGAAGAGGATACATTTTGCTTTACAGCATATTTGTTGTTGGCAAAAAGCCACTGTTGCCTAGGGGAAGTGTGGCTGGCCTTAGCGCATCCCTGGGGCATATCTGTGGGTATGGTAGGGAGACAAATCAAGTAGGGAACAATTCCTTCTCCCCTTACCTCTCTGGCATCCATGTTCCTTTATGGGACAAATTGGGTTAATATTAAGTTAAGGAGAGCGTTATAGGAGAAAGAGAATCAATACATAGCCTGAGAGTTGTGTATGTTGTGTGCCAGGGCAGAGGGGCAACTTTCTTTAATTTGCCTCGCGCTGGTGAATTGCTTGAATGAACTTCGGTTATTTCTTAACACCAGGTACCAGAGCCATCTTCCTTCCCTCCCTCTGGTTTCCTCTTTAAATCACAGCCTGACCCCGGTCTTTATAGTGCATTTCAAGTGGAAGTTACAGTTCTATTCTTCACCCACACCTTGCTCCCTTGCATTGATACTTAGAGGAAAGTAACACTTTGCAGTACTGGCTGAACTTTTGTGGGAAAGTTTCTGGAGTGTATCAAATAAGAATTCATCATAGTAACATGGTTATTACTGGCTGTAAAAAATTCTGTTTGAAACTATTGTACTTAGTCATTAAATAATTGTTTACTAAGGCAATCTACATGTTTCTAGAAATCGGTGTAACAGTTAACAGTTTTATATGTCTCATAAAAGAAACTACTTAGGTTGGAAACAATGGAATGTTGTGTATAATTAATTCAATCAGGTCATGTAACATATGGCATTTTAACTTATATGTTCTCTTTCTTAACCTTCATTACTATACAGCAGCAACAAGATAAACTTCAGGTTTTTTGTTTCTTTATTAAGTGGACCACGTATAAAAGTTGTTACATTCCTGGTTGAATATTATGGACAATATTTCCCTATTAAAGTAGTTTTGTATCTCTCAAGGATTATCCTTTAGGGTTGGGTGGATTAGAAACATTACATTAGTGCTTCTTGAGCATACAAGTCACTAGGGATCAAGCGAAGATACAGATTCCTTTTAGTAGGTTTGTGATGGGGAATGAGGATCTTCATCTCTCAAATCTCCCTGGTGATGTGGATGCTGCCAATCCATGGATCACACTTTGAGTTGGGAGATTCTACATCACTTGAGAAATATGAATACTGAAGCCTACACTCTTAAACTTTCAAAGACCCTGTGTTCATGTCTGTGTTCTGTAGAAATATTTTTCTTTAAAGAAATAAAATGCATAAAGTAAAATCAGAAAACCATAACACTGGTTTTCTAAATTTGCCACAAATACTATAATACTCTACAGAATAAAATGCGAAGAAAATTATTCCTTTTACAAGTTTCTCTATTCCAAGTGCAGGAAAGGAACATGGGTAGAGTCATGTACCATTCTTATCAGTCAGGAGATGACACATGGTAAATTTATCTTCTTGATTTTCCCCGTGATTATACTCACATAAGGAAGCACCATTTGGTAACAAAGATGAAATTCTGTTCATAGGTAACAAGAATTTAACAATTTCTTGCTTGGCAAAATCTGAGGCAACCTTACCAAAACATTCTACATTAAATTCAGAATTTTGGGTAACTGCATAAGCTGAAGATTTTGGAAAGCCTAAGTTGAAAATGGCGCCTGGATCTGTATCTTCTTGTCTTGAATTCTCTTTGCGAGCTTTATTCTGTGAGAGATCCTTCCCCTGCAGTGAATTTTCTATTCTTCCTCAGTTGCTGGGGTCTCAGTAAGGGGTGGAGGATTGCTGTAAATGAGAGTCACATAAATTGTCTAATTTGAGCATGCCAAGTGATTTTTGTCAGGCTCTTTCGGTCACACAATTTTGGTATAGCTATTGTGAAATATAGTGTCATAAATTTGTCATAAACCATTAATGAAGGAAGAGAAGTAGGAATGTATTTCTGTGGGAATGCACTCAAATATCAAGCAGATGGTGTTCTACAACATTTATTTGGGAAAATGTGTATCTGTTACATAATCTAAAATATGTCTTTTTCACATTTAAAAATATTTGGGTCATGATTTAGTTTTTATTGGATTGTTTTTTAAATGGAGAGGAAGAAGAAAGGTAATTGTATTTTAAAACATTTGACATGTTACTAATAAAATTTTATTTCTGGTGAAATATAGGTGCCTTCGTTAAGTAGGGGAAGTGGGATCATGAACACCTGGCAGATGCTGTATGTGCCTTAATTCCAGAGGCATCATTTTAAAGTCATATGCTTATATTTCTTTCAGCAGTTTGTTTTCAGGACAGTTTGTCTAAGGATTTGGAAGATATTCCCAGTCTCCTGGTACAATTTCTTCACTGAGTGAACCTGAAATGGTTTTTAGATAGTGCAAATCATTAAAAAAACACAACAGAACTGACTTCATTTAGACATTATTTAAACATCATAACTATAAATCTCAGTGTGGAAGATAGCTTATCTACCCATTGAACAACAGTGGCTGTACACATCATTCTTCCTGGATTCATTAGGTGAATTGGGCATTAGATGAATTTGGATTCATTAAGTGAACTGGCATGCACCAGGGAGATAGTGTCCCCCTCTTTCTAGCAGGAGCTAGTTTTTGTTATCAGCTTTGCAAACTGATGATCATGAAGGCCCCTACAAAACACTGACTTACATGGGGCACCAGTGCCCATGTAGGTGTTTCAAAGCAAATAACCTTTTTTTGTGTGTGTATATCCAGTGTTTCAGTCTGTTCTCCCACTGCTAATAAAGACATACCTGAGACTGGGTAATTTATAAAGGAAAGAAGTTTAATGGACTCACAGTTCCACATGGCAGGCGAGGCTTCACAATCATGGAAGAAGGCAAATAAGGAGCAAAGTCATGTTTTACATGGCAGCAGGCAAGAGAGCTTGTGCAGGGGAAATCCCATTAATAAAACCACCAAATTGCATGAGATGTATTCACTACCATAAGAACAGTATGGGGGAAACCTCCCCCATGATTCCATCATCTCCACCTGGCCCTGCTCTTGACATGTGGGGATTATTACAATTCAAGTTGAGATTTAGGTGGAAATATGGCCAAACCATTCTGCTCCTGGCCCTTCCCAAATCTCATATCCTCACATTGCAAAACCAATCATGCCTTCCCAACAGTCCCCCAAAGTTTTAACTCATTTCAGCACTAACTCAAAAGTCTACAGTCAAAAGTCTCACTTGAGACAAGTCTCTTCTGTCTATGAGCCTGTAAATCAAAAGCAGATTAGGTACTTCCTAACACAAGGGGGGTACAGGTACTGGGTAAACATAGCCATTCCAAATGGGAGAAATTGGCCAAAACCAGGGGGCTACAGGCTCCATGCAAGTCCAAAATCCAGCAGGTTAAAATTAAACTCCAAAATGATCTCCTTTGACTCCATGTCTCACATCCATGTCGTGATGATGCAGCAGTTGGATTCCTATGGTCTTGGACAGCTCCCTCATGTGGCTTTGCAGGGTACAGCACCCTCCTGGCTGCTTTCATGGGCTGTCGTTGAGTGTATGTGCTCTTGCAGGCACAGGATGTAAGCTGTTGGTGGATCTACTATTCTGAGTTCTGAAGGACAGCAGCCTTCTTCTCACAGTGCCACTAGGCAGTGCCCCAGTGGGAACGAACTCTGTGTAGGGGCTCCAACCCCACATTTCCCTTCTGCACTGCCCTAGCAGAGGTTCTCCATGAGGGCTTTGCCCCTGCGGCAGATTTCTGCCTGAGCTTCCAGGAGTTTCCACATGTCCTCTGAAATCTAGGCAGAGATTACCAAACCTCAGTTGTTGACTACTGTGCACCCACAGGCCCAACACCATGTGAAAATTGCCAAGGCTTGGGGCTTGCACCCTCTGAATCGATGACATATGCTCTATGTTGGCCCCTTTTAGCCATGGCTGGGTTGCAGAGCACTAACTCCCAAAACTGCACATAGCAGCAAGGTCCTGGGCTCAGCCCACAAAACCATTTTTTCTTCCTAGTCCTCCAGGCTTGTGATGGGAGGGGCTGCTGTGAAGACCCCTGGCATGCCCTGGTGGCATTTTCTTCACTGTTTTGGCAATTAACATTTGGCTCCTCATTACTTATGCAACTTTCTGCAGCCAGCTTGAATTGTTCCTCAGAAAATGTTTTTTTTTTTTTCTATCACCTCATCAGGCTGCAAATTGTCTAAACTCTTATGCTCTGCTTCCCTTTTAAACATAAGTTCCAATTCCAAACCATATCTCTGTGAATACATAAAACTGAATGCTTTTAAGAGCACCGAAGTCACCTCTTGATCACTTTGCTGCTTAGAAAATGTCTTTTGCCAGATGCCCTACATCATCTCTCTCAAGTTCAAAGTTCCATAAATATCTAGGGCAGGGGCAAAATGCTGTCTGCCTTTTTACTAAAACATAGCAAAAGTCACCATTATTCCAGTTCCTGACAAATTCCTTATCTCCATCTGAGACTACTTCAGCTTGGACCTTACTGTCCATATCACTATCATTTTGTTCAAAGTCATTCAACAAGTCTCTAGGAAATTCCAAACTTTTTCACATTTTCCTGTCTTCTTCTGACCCCTTCAAACTGTTCCAACATCTGCCTGTTACCCAGTTCCAAATCTGCTTCCACATTTTCAGGTATCTTTACAGCAGTGCCCCACCTCCCAGTACCAATTTACTGTATTATTCCATTCTCACACTACTATACTAAGACTGGGTAATTTATAAAGGAAAGAGGTTTAATGGATTCATGGTTCCACATGGATGAGGTGTCCTCACAATCATGGTAGAAGGCAAAGGAGAAGCAAAGACACATCTTACTTGGTGGCAGGCAAGAGAGCTTGTGCAGGGGAACTCTCATTTATAAAACCATCAAATCTTGTGAGACTTATTCACTATTAGGAGAACAGTATGGGGGAAACCAACCCCATGATTTAGTTATCTCCATCTGGCCCTGCACTTGACATGTGGGGATTACTAAAATTCAAGGTGAGATTTGGGTGGAGACATAGAGCCAAACCATATCATCAAACAAGAAAAAGGCTTGATTAAAATGTACAGTTATTTGAACAACCCAGTTATTTCAGTTTATATGTACAACTGACTCATATAAGAGACCATCATGTATTGGTTAGTAGAAACTTAAACACATATGAACAGACACATCCAAGACAGTAACATAAAGAGCTGGTCAATATTTTCTGGCAGTAAGAAATCAGTCATATATATTACATTATATAGGCGCCTTCGATAGTGCTTAGAGCGTATTTGGTAATAATAATTGGCACTGTCCAAGTGACTCTTAGTTTATTTTTTTTAACAAATAAATGTGTTTTTCACCCCTTTTGTGTTCTACTTTTAAGTTTAAAAGTAGGTTGATATAATTTTCTTTCCTACTGAAATTTGTAAGCTGGGTATGGTGGCTCATGTCTGTAATCCTAACATTTTGGGAGGCTGAGGCAAGAGGACAGCTTGAGCCCAGGAGTTCAAGACCAGCCTAGGTAACATAGCGAGATCCTGTCTCAACAATTTTTAAAAACACAAACATTAGCCAGGTGTGGCAGCACATGCCGGTGGTCCCAGTGACTTTGGGGGCTGAGGTGGGAGGCTCATTTGAGCCTAGGAGACTGAGGCTGCAGTGAGCCATGATGACACTGTTGCACTCCAGCCTGGGTCTCAAAAAATAATAATAAAGAAAAAAAATGTATGGATCACACACACAAACAGAGTGAGGGCAAGAGTGGGAGCAAGAGAGAAACCATCGAGTCCAGGTGAATGGGCTTCTTTATTACTTATTAAGAAGTAAAAGAAAGGGTGACTACCTCAAGGTGCCTCTTTCAATAACCTTGGAATCTGCATGAGAATTTCAAGCCACATTGAGAAGCTTAAATATAGTGGAATTGGTGAGTTGATAGTAGTAATGCCACCAAGTTTTAACCTCAAAATGAAGATCCACTACACAAAAGGATTTCTGTTTTCATTTCCCCGCACTACTCTCCAACCTTATTGTAGCCTGTTTCTGGCGCACTGCTTCTATTTCAGACCTGCTTGCTGTCACTGAAATTGAATAGTCACGGTAAACTCTACCAGGACAAATCTTTAAAAGGCTTTGGTTAAACCACCCCAGTCGTTTCTTCATATTGTAGTAGTTTTCTTACAATTCTTCCATGTGTTCCATTCAGTGAGAATCACTCCCAAACATTTACTTACCTGAAAGCTATTCATACTATTGTCCCATGGATTTTATAATTAGAAATGTTTACAAACAGTTCTATGTAAACTGAAGTTATACAGAATTATTACTCCCCTCCATATAAAAGAAGATATATTAAATTATTACTAGTTCATACATACAAGTAGAATACAGCATCACTTTGATAAATTATGGTCATAGTATTTATACAGTTTATGAAGAAGTCAAATACAGAAGTTTTATCTATGTGTCTCATATTCTTCCTGCCTTTCTTTTGATCAGTTTGTGAAGAAAAAGGGTACAATTCTTTAATTATCTAATTAAAATACTTCATGCTCACTTAACCTCATTGGCAGGAGGAAAGGCTGGATGTCTTTCTCCCAGGAAAGCTTACCCCAAGGTGCTCCAGGGCCATGCCATGTCCACTGGTCACCAGCCAGCTGCAGCGTGTCAGGAGAGAGCAGGACTGCTTAAGGTGTCTAATCTTGCCAACTAGAGGCTGCTGGGGCTCAAGTGTCAACGTGATGTCACCATGGAAACCAAGCCCTTCCAGGGCAGACCTTACTACTTGTGGTTACTGTGAATAGGGAAACTGTCTTCTTACAATGGAACCTTATCCTGATTGCCCTATTTTTATAAAACACGCGTAGACTAAACTTTTCATGTCAAGGAAATTATCTCTGTTGATACTAAATAATTAAGAGACCCAAATAAACTAGAAACTGTTCTGTTTAGCTTTCAAAATGAGCCAACTACAAAAACTCTTCACTCTGTTGTAGTTGATAGGCCATTAGGAACTGGGGAAAACAAACAAACAAACCCTAAAACACTAAGTAGTTCACTGTCTCTGGTTTGTATTATGTCCGCTTTCCCGGATCCTTCCATCAATGAATGGAATGGAATTGATGTAGTCAGCACTGATGGAGAGAGCTTTCTGCCTGGGGATAAGAAGCAGTCAGGTTGTGGGGAGGCAGAATCATGGAGGGAACCTGGACAGTGGGAACAGATGCATCAGGGACTTAAATATTTGTTCCTATATTTAGAGGAAAAGAACCCTAGGTGTGGGCCCAAAACTTCGACGGTGTTGTTTTTTCGTCTTTGAATTTGCTCTAAGGGTGTGAGTGTCTTTCAGACAGATGGCTGAAATGATTGCTACTTTTACTTGCATATTGCACAATAAATTTAGTTTCATGGATTTGGTTTTATCTGAAGAAACTTATATTATTTTTACATACCACTGGCCTACTGATTTACAAACTTGTATCCTATTACCCAGGAACAAAGACCAAGCAATTGTTCTGGTTATAGAGTTAGACGTCATCTGGGAGAGAATAAGGGATATCCTCAACCAAAAACAAGATTATAGTATTGGAAAAATACTCCTGGAGATGGTGAGGATGCACCCACTTATACCTGAGTTATAATATAACACACTTTGGTCATGGTACCAGGCTTCTCTCTCCTATACAGCACTTTCTAAAACAAAGCTGCCTGAAAACACATCTCTAAAAGAGAGTTTGTAGGCTGGCTTTTGAGTTTTAACCTTAACTTCCCATTTAAGCTCATAGAAAAGAAAGGAAAAAAACATGACATTAAATCTCCCTGCCTTTCTGGGTACTTATTGTTGCCTGAGTGTTGGAAAGCTCTTTTGAAAAGTTGGTTTTCTGTACTTTTGCCTTTCTTCACCAATGGGTCTCAGAGATTGGCTTCTCTTAGGTATCTATTTGTAGATTCAAGGAACCAGTTGACTGTTGCCTGGGATACTGAGATTTTAAAGATGCATCCTGGCTCAAAACAGGCTAAAAATTTGAAGGTATAAGAAAAATATACACAAAACTCTAAATCAAAATAGATTTGCCTAAATTGCATGAGAAATACAGGATTGTGCAATAAAGTAAAGAGATTCTATTTGGTTGGGAAAAAACAGGCAAATGTTAATGAAAAAGTGAGTTCGACAACAACTTTGAAGAAGGAGTACAATTTTAATAGACAGGGGAGTCAGCAACCAAAGGGAAAGAGTTGGGGAAGTAGGGGAATGATGGGAGAATAATCTGTATTCTGGATTAGTTGAAGGACAGAATGTCAGAGAGGGGCAATGAAAAGTGATGCCAAAAAATAATTAGGGCACCTTTTGTGGAAGGCTTTGAACACCAGTGTGAGGCATCTGAATCCTCTTTGGTAGGTCATCGAGAGGCATTGACGGTGTTTTTGATAGCACTTTGGAAAGGTTGGTTTTAGATGTGTCAAATAGAAATGGCAAAACAGTTATGACAGACATTACAGAGACACACTGAATGCTTGGAGATGGAGGGTGAAGGAACAAGAGTGAAGAGTCTCTTTTCAGATGTAGATAGACCTTCATCGTGTATGTAACAAAGAACTGGGAATTGTCTGCGTCTTTGATCCAGTAATATTGTAACAACTGGCCACTTGAACTGTTGCTGGTCTAAACTGAAATGTACTGTAAGTGTAAAATATACTCTGGATTTGTAAGATTTTTATATTAAAGAATGTAAATATAATTGCTTAGCATGTTGAAATGCTACTATTTAGTAGATACTGCATTACACAAAATATATTTAAAATGAATTTAAACTGTTTCTTTAAAAATCTTTAGTGTGGCTACTAGAAAATTTAAAATTATGTATGTGGCTCATATTCTATTTCTATTGGATGGTGCTCATTTAGATTTTAGACAAATGGAACAATGGTGGACCATTAGCAGACAAAGGAAAAGGAGGAACAGGAGGTAAGGAGAGATATCATCCACTTAGTGTTTCATGTTTTAGCTTGGAGTGAAACATTCAAGTGGAATGTCAATAAAACAGCTGAAAATACAAATCTGGGAATAGGCAGGAATTGAGTGGGAGAAGCAGTTAGAAAGCCAGTTGCTAAATCTTCTAGAACTACTAGTAATTACTCAAAAATATGATACAATTGTGAGTCTCTGACAAATAATTTCTTTGGCATACTCCTTAAAATTCCATATGGTGTATGTGGACCTCCTTGACCTTCCCTATGGGCCTTTCTCCTTACAAAATTCTCTCTAGTTTCCAGTGCCCATAGATACAGGTGACTTAGAAGGTGCTGAAGACTTGGTATGGAGTGGGAGCTGAGGGTGTGGGATGCAAGCTGCTACCACAATTGTGAACAGACGGGTCCCTGGGGGCTAGGGATGTGTGAATATTGGCACTCAGAGCAACCACCATGTTTGTTTTGCAATAATCAGGAGGGAATGACAGAAGCAGTCTTTGCTTTTCACGATTTTATAATCTGATTTGTGGACATAAAACACCATCAGACAGTGGGTTATTTCTTTTTTGATCCCAGTGTCTAGAACAATATGACCAGCAATTTAAACACTCCATGCAGTTTTGGTCCAATTCTAACATCGTTTTTTTCCATTAAGTATCTTGTACGCTTCCAACTGGATATACTCTGTTTTTCATGTCAGCCCTTACAGCATTGTGTATCTCTTTCTTTCTTTTTCATTGTCTGCCTTGTGTTGAATTATTTCCTTACATATCTCTCTTCTCCCCTAGACTGTATGGCCCTGGGATATGAAGACCACATATTTATCTTGAACTTTCCTGATAATTTGTCTTTACTTCATTCAGCCAGTGCTTTGCTGAATGAATAAAAATTAAAATAGTTACCATTTGTTCAGCATTTACTATAGGTGAGGCTTTGCAAGTATTTAATTTACTTCTCACCAACCATAAAAGTTACATTTTATTATTTTCTAATTTATCATTAAAGAAACTGAGGTACAAAGAATTTAAGAAACCAGTCCAGTGCTGTCCCGCTGGGTCAGTGGTAGAGCCAAAAGTAGAACTCCCGTGGCCTGACTGCAGAGCCTTCACTGTGAGAGAGCGTATTTTTGTGCTTAGGAAATTGGTTTTGGAGTAAGAAGCGTCCAATTTCAAGCCTAATACCACTACTGACAGCTGTAGGACTTTGGAAAAGTTCTTGTATAAGCTTTTTTAACCCTTTTTCTGTTTTCCCTGAGATGACTCACCAGCGGCTGCAGCCTCCACTCCAAGGTAAGTTTGCCACAATGTATCTCGCTTTTATTGCTGTTTTCACATTGCTCTTGTACATAGACTTTGGAAACAAGAGACATCATTCTACTTATAACATTCTGTTTTTAGTAGTGGTATTTCCATTTACGAAAACGTAATAATTCTCCATCGCTGAAAATCTCAAATCCTAGAAAACATAGAACTCCGATACTTGACGTTAACATCATTCTCAAGTGGTTGTTGACCAAAGATTCATTTGATGAATTCAATTTTTCTGAAATGGATGATTCTGATGTTACTTCTGTTTAGAAATAACTCCAAGAACAGTTTTTATATTTTATTTTCACATTGAAAATCAGTCAGATTTGCTTTAGTCTCAAAGAACATGTTTATGTAAAATTAAATGAGCGCTGGCAGCGAGCTGCACTTTTTTTCTAAGTGGAAAAAACATTAAACTTTGGTTTCCTCATCTCTAAAACAGGGGAGACAATTTCACCTAATGCTTAGGTTTATGAAGAGAAGCACAAATTGTTGCATGTGCAGCACGCAATACCATGGCCAGGTTAAGAATCAAACTCAGAGAATTTTAGCTGACTAAAATAAATAACAATGCAAGATTAAAATGTCAATCCATTAATCTGATTAAGTAAATTTCTGCTACTGACTTAGAAATAATGAGAAATTTTTAGTTTTCCAGTTTTTCTATGTTCCACGCTCATTCAAAAATGGCCCAGTATAAAATGGTTCCAGACAAGTAATTCTCATGCTTCTCATGAGACTTCTCAAAGCATGAGGTATTTATTCTTTATAAAAGATACTCTGTTCAAAGCCAACGTGTATGTATTAATTAGATGTGGGAGACTTTAAAATAAGTGTAGATATAGTATTTTTTTCCTTCCAAGAACATGCTAAGGAAACCGAACGTATATCCACATACACACCACAAATGAACCGGGAGTGAATGATGCAGGGGCATAATGGAAAGCAATGGCAGGATGTTCTCACTGTGCATTTTCCAGGCCATGTTCCTATTAGCTAAGTGATTCTCACAACACAGCCACAATACAGCCTTCCCAAGCACAAACTGTTTTTCCAACAAAGAACTCCAATCACGGACAGAGTCTGACTCAACACTTGCCAGAAGCCTGAGTAAGGGCCCTTCCCCAGGCTTGGCAGTGTTTTCAAACACACTCAAGGGCCAGATGGCTATTGGTCTGATTCACAGGAATGTGATGTAGTCACCAATAATGTGTCCAATTTTTAATTCCCACGCAGATAGTTCATCTTGAGAGGAAACTAAACATAGCTAGATAAGATGGCAGTGAACCAGAACTTCAAAGCTGTGTGTTACTGAGAGGTTGCAGTCTGAACTAGTTGTAGAGAAGTTTCTTCTGTAGCCTTTTGAATAACAGATTTGTAGCATGTGATAGCCAGATAGAATGTTGGAGGCCATCTCATGTAG